TGAGGGGCAGCACGGTGCCGCCCCTTGACGCAGGGGACGCAGGCAGGGACAGGTCCCAGGGGAAGGGGAGGGAGGGACCGGGGGAGACCAGAGACAAGGAGACGGGCCGCCATGCCTCAGAGACGAGGCAGGGAGGGGTGACCAAGACGGTGGTGCCACAGGAGAGTCTCGTGAGACAGGAGACGACACGAACAGGGGGCAGACTCAGCACCAGACCTGGACGCTGCTGCAAACACCTGGCCCGACGCAGCTACCCGACCAGACGCAGTGACAGGAGGAGACGCAGTGGTCAGTGTGTACAGGCTCGACCCCGGCTGACGTGTAAACGTGGCCAAGTGTCGGCCCGTACGAGCCTCAGTGCAGTGAGTCACCCGCTGGCTCGTAGGAGTGAACTGGTGCACTCCCCCATCCTGTAGGTCAGCACCACTCACCAAGTTCGTAAAGAACGAGGGGAGGTAAAGACCAGACAGGGTGCCAGAGGGAGCCGTCGGACACGGGAGGACAGTGGAGAAGTGAGCAAGGACAGGACCCCCAGAGGGGTCTGCCAGAGAGACTGCAACTGGCCGACCAAGCGGCGTGAGTGTGGTGCGGTCTCGAAAGCTGGAGCGAGAAGCCCCACAGTCAAGGGTGAAGGTGAGGGAGGCCGAAGCCGACGCAGTACCTGAGAGAGCAGACTCACCAGCACCTGAGGAAGCAGACGCACTAGCACCTAGAGCAGCAGCCTTGCTAGCACCAAGAGCTGCATCCTCACCAGCACCTAGAGCAGCAGTCTCAATGCCCGGGTCGGGCGGAAAACACCGGTAACAGTCACCCTCATCACTATTAGTCACAGCATACATAGCAGCAAGAATAGCATCAAAGTCAAGGTCAAAGATAGCAACCCCCGCCCTAGACAGCTCGCCCCAGCGAGGGATCTCTGTGGCCTCAGGGAACTGGTGACGCCAAGCGTCCGTCATGCGGCCAAAGCAGCGCTGGGTGGGATGCGCACCCCCACACTGCTCACCCGCACGGTCGCCGGTGCGCAGGACGTAGGTGCACGGACCAGTACCCCCAACCCGCTGGCGTGCAGCGTACCACTCACGGAGCTGCTGAGGGGACAGGGTCTCACGACCGCGCTGCTGCTGCTGGCGCGGACCACCACCGAAGCCACTCCTCTGCACAGAACCGCGACCAGCTCCACCGCCACCTCCGCCGCCTCCGCCACCTCCGCCGCCTCCGCCACCACCGCCGCCTCCGCTCCCTCCGCCACCACCGCTGCCTCCTCCGCCTCCACTGCTGCCACCGGCACCTCCACCCCCGCCACCACTCCCACTCCCACCCCCACCCCCTCTGCCGCCTCCACCGCCGCCTCCACCGCCCGCGCCAGCTCCTCCAGCGCCCTTGCCCTTCTTGCCCTTGCCTGTGCGGCGCTTCCCCGAACGGGCAGACGCAGCGCCGACTGACTCGAAACCAACGAGGTCGGCCACAGCAGCAGAGGCAACAGAGGGCAAGAGGGGGGAGGGAGAACACCCCTCAAAGACGGGGGTGCGGGGGTCACCCCGAGAGGCTCCTACAGCAACTATGCTCTTCTCTGCTGCTAGGAGGGCCTTCTCGAGGAGGTCAACGGTGAGAGTGGTGGGGCAGACAGAGAGAAAGTGGTCCCTAAATACGCGGAGGGAGTCAGGGAGACGGGCGACTATGTAGTAGAGGGTGATGTACATGGGGGGGGGGAGGGGTTCTTGGCGCAGAACTCAGCAGGTAGCGCAGCGCGGTAGCGAGTGTCACTAGTGCGGAGGTGCGTAATGAGGTCAGTGACTGTGGGAAAGGCAGCAAGGTCAGGGAAGAGGTACGGTAGCATGAGGCGGCTCAGTGCAGTAGTGGCAGGGGAGGAGTAGCGTGCAACTACAGCGTCGTACAAGGTCTGAGCACTCTTGTACTGGCTAAAGTGCGCACGCTCAGAGGTAGGCAGGTGGCGACGCACAGCAAGACGTGCAGCAGCACCGCGCGTGGCCCACTGTGAGCGAACAGTGGCGTCAGCATCAGCAGCGGGGGCAGTAGAGGCAGCAGAATTGAGGTCAACGAGGGAGAGGTCGTCTGCCCTATCGCACTGTAAGAAAAGCTGCAGGTCATCTACCCAGACGTCAAATTCAGTGGCCCTACCCTCAGCGTCAAAAGCGAGGACACTAGGGGTAGCCATGGCAGCAGTAGACTAGTAGGGCGAACAGTAGGGTAAGGGCAGTGCAGGGGTAGAGGCGCTGCTCTTACCGGACAGGGCGGCTCGGGCGACTCAGCGGTGCGGGCGGCTCGGCTGCAGGGCGGCTCGGTGGCTCGGCTGCTGGGTGGCTCGGCGGCTCGGCTGCTCAGCTGCTGGGCGGCTCGACGGCTCTGCTGCTGGGCGGATCGGCGGCTCTGCGGCTCGCGTGCTCGGCTGCTGGGCGGCTCGGCGGCTCTGCTGCTGGGCGGCTTGGCGGCTCGACGGCTCGGCTGCTCGGCTGCTGGGCGGCTCGGCGGCTCGGCTGCTCGGCGGCTCGGCGGCCCGACGGCTTGGTTGCTGGAGGGCGGCGGCTCCTGACTCAGGGACGGCGGTGAGGACGTGAGGAGGCCGCAGAAGGCGGCTCGAGGGGCCAGATGGAGCGGCGGCGAGGCCAGGTGGAGCAGCAGTGGAGCTGGGAAGGCGGCGGCGGGGCCGGGAAGGCGGTGTCGGGGCCGGGAAGGGCGGTGTCGGGGCCGGGAAGGGCAGTGCCGGGGCCGCCGAGGTGGCGTCGGGGCCGGGAAGGGTGGCGTCGATGCCGCTAGGGCGGCTCACAGTGGGCCGACGGGCGGCTCGAAGGGCCGCAAGGGCGGCACGTGGGGCCGACGGGCGGTGCAAGAAGCCGCTAGGGCGGCGCGCAGGGTCGGTGGGGCCGATGTAAGAGGCGGCGACGAGGCCGCTGTGAGAGGTGGCACCGGGCCGTAAGAGGAGGCGGCGACGCCGTTGAAGAGGCGGCGACGAGGCCGTAGGTGGAGGGCGGCGACGGGCCGCTGAGTGCGGTACGCCGGGGCCGCGAAAGAGGCGGCGCGACGGGGCCGCTGAAGGGCGGCGCGACGGGCCAGAAGGGCGGCGCGACGGGCCTTAAGGGCGGCGCGACGGGCCGTAAGAGGGCCGCTAAGGGCGGCACGACTGGCCGTAAGAGGGCCGCTAAGGGCGACACGACGGGGCCATGAGGGGCCTATCGAGGGCGCGACGGGAGAGAGAGCACACGGAGCGCGACTCGGGCCAGAGTGGAGCGCGCTCCGTGCAGGAAAAACAGATATTGTAGTGGTGGGCACTAGGAATCGTTCCCGTTAGGGAACCTGCTCGATACCATGAGAAGAAACGAGAATGAATGAACTATGAAAGAGTTGGGTACAAGTACTAACCCTAATTGGGTTGTACCCCTTATGGGCTACCCCACTACAGCCTACACAAATGCATAAGCTACAATGTTCTGACAATGCGCTGCCAGACTGGTGTAATCAAGCCGAACCCTCAAGAAGAGGGTCGAATATTCCCTGCTAGTGCAGCGGATATCGTGCCACGCAGGGCCTTCTGCGGGTTCAAGTGGGGGTTTCCCATCATCCATCGGCGCTGTCCGTCGCCGCCCGCGCGGTTTTAAAAGCTAGGTTTTAGTGGTCGAAAAACTTCGCGTGCAAATAGGCTCTGATTAACAAGTGTGAGGATCTAGGATCGAGCTCAAAAAAGAGAATGTGAATTGAATGATCACCTTGGTACAATACGAGGCTATATATAGGCTCGACACAAGGCCTACTAACCAGGTGTTACGCGAATGTTATGAGGGTCGCGAAGCGTCCCGAACAGAACTTTCCCGAACTCAGTAGAAAGCAATTCGGTGGAAACCGAATAGGCTTGAGTTCGGCACACGTAACCTGGTTCGGTGCTATAACTATAATAAAATATAGGAGTGCACCTAACCTAGGAAATCAAGCATATCTATGCATGATAAATATAACCCAAGCTAGATATAGAATAATAACTTCTAGGCAAGCTAGCAAAGCCAGCATAAGCCGTCGTACTCTCACACCACTGCCGCCAGTTTCGTAGGTTAGCGATTGTTTCGTCAACTCGTGTTGGACTATTTTATAGTAGACTTCTGGGGATGGAGGGAACCGTACTTCGAGAACCTTCAAGCTTACATCCCGCCAAGGATTAACTCCAGGTGTCCAGCAGTGGGAGTGAGTTGGTCCCCTCATTTTTAAGGATGGTGAGAATCCCTTTGACTTCGTGCCTGTAGCACGCTACCGTCTTTTAGGCGATGAAATTGGGCAGCACAGCCAAACGTTGCGATGAAATTTAGTTCCCGCGGTCGGGTTTCACATTTTCGCGATGGCGGCGCACGTGGCTGATCGGTTGGTCAGTATGGGACCAGCAGATCCGGTCTATCCCGTTTGTAACGTCTGTGGGTTGTGTTAAGGGCACTCTGCTACGCCAACTAACACCCTCGTTTTAACCCAGTGGGTAGCAAGGTGTTACATTTGGTATCATAGCCTAGCGTTCGAGTCCCGGCTGGTCCACATTTTCCGCCAGTGGCGAGAACTGAAATGTGGTTACCAGCTCGAACCCAGTGAGCGATCCTGAAATCTAGGTCCTAGCTGCAGAGGGCCGACTCCCTGAAGTCCGAGGCCAACGGGGACGTTGGCGCCAGGGGGGGACGAGTGTAACGCCTATGGGCTGTGTTAAGGGCACTCCGCTGCGCCAAATAACACCCTCGTTTCGACCCAGTGGGTAGCGAGGTGTTACATCGTCCGTCGCTCGGAGAACCGCTTTCACTCTTTCCGCCGCCCCGCCTTCGGAGCAGTCACTTATCCCGCGATGCCGCTACACCGCCCTTCTGTCGGCGCCTCGCGCACCCTGTAAGCCTCTACAAAGAGCATAGGACCTTCCGAGTTAATATTCCATCGAGCGAGCGAGCCGTCGAGTCAGCGACCCTTTTTTACCCATTTCCCGCCGCTCCCAGCCGTCCAATTCGAACCTCCCGCCAGCCATGGTGCGCCAGGCTCCTCCTCAGCGCGGGACGCCTCTGCTAGTGCTGCTGCTGCTCACTCTGATCGTCTCGGCGACTGTCGCCGTCGCGCAAGATGCGTTCGATCCCGTCACCTACGTGCCGGCCACTCACAGCCTGACGTTTGGTCTGGGGTACATCGCGTCTGTGAACACCGCAACCAACCCGCCGTCACTGGCCGTTGTCGACTCCACTTGCGCGCCTGTCGCGCCCACTTCTAACGCGGACGGATCCTCCACGGTGGTCGGCTACACCGCGTACTCGAACGGCACCATCACTGGTCCGGGCGGCCTCTCCATCTACATTGGTGCCGGCGACGCGCTGGCTGCTATGGGAACAACAACAGTCCTGAAGAACGGAACCATTGTGGACGGTTCGGGAATGAAGCTCGTGCCAGCAACGAACCCTGACGGGTCGTACACTGCAGGGGACATGACCGGGTGGGCTAACAGCACCATCGTTGGCAGCGGCGGCGCCGTGATCAACGCCGGCGCGCCGCTCACCCTCACAGCGGACGGCAGCATTGCTTTCGCTCTGCATGCAGCCCCTCCCGTGCCTAGCGCCGCCATCTCCGTGAATCCCGGCGCCCGCAGCCTGTCGGTGGGCGGCTACACGGTGTCGCTGAGTGGCAATAAGCTCTCCCTGCTAGACTCCACCGGCAAGCCTGTCACCACCACCACCAACCCCGACGGGTCCCGCTGTCTTGGCGACTACACGCTTTACAAGAACGGCACGATCGCTGCTCCGGGCGGCATTGCCATTGACACTTCCGGTCCCAACGCGGGGCTGCGTGTGGGAACAACGACGGTTCTGACAGTAAACGGAACGGTTCTGGACGGTACGGGAGCGAAGATTGTGCTGACGGGTCCGAATGAGGACGGGTCGTAGAGTGTAGGGGACGTGAAAGGGTGGGCCAATAGGACTGTTATTGACACCAACTCTGGTGTGGTGTTCTATGCTGGGGCGCCGCTGGCCGTCACATCTGATGGCAGGGTCACTTTGGCTTCTCCTTCCCTTCCCACTGCTACCGCTGATGCTCCCTCTGCTGGTGTTGCTTCTCCTCCCACTGGTGCCGCTTCTCCTCCTACTGATGTCGGTGCTCCTCCTAGTGATGCAGGTGCTCCTACTGCTGATGTCGGTGCTCCCCCTGCTGGTTCCACTTCTCCCCCTGCTGGTGCCTCTACTCATGCCACTCCTCCTCCCCCACCCAAGACTGCTGGTGAGTTGCTTCTCCTTTTCTGAAGTGCTACTCAACCTTTTCCATTTTTCGAATAGTTCTGTTGCCTCAATCTTGCTTTCCTGTTTGCTACCTCACCCTCTTATTCCGCTGCCCTTTTCCACACATCTCACTACTCCGATGCTTCCTTTTCTCCTCTCTATCGTAGGATGTTTTGACCTGAGTCTGTTTTCCCTGTTATTCCCCTTCGCAATGGCAGGTTCGCTTGCTTCACCGGCCACTGCTCTCGCTGCTGCTCTCATCACTCTCGCCCTTGCCCCGCTCATGTTCATGTAGAGCAACGCAGCTCCATGTAGGACCAGTCGTGGGCGCAGGTGACCTTGAGTCACTTCACCGGCCGCTGATCACACTGCTCTCATCACTCTTGCCTTTGTGCCGATCATGTTCATGTAGAGCAACGCAGCTCCATGTAAGACCAGGCGAGGATACAAGTGGGCACGAGTGGTTTGCACTGTGCAGTAACATGTTATCATATTTCAATTGCTTATTTCCATCCCAGGCCATTTCTTGCATGGATTGGGTAACTCCCATGCTTGTTCCTACTTGTTAACAGTTAGGGTACATTCCTGTGTGGACACAAATGTCTCAATCGCTTTGTGACACCCAAAAACAGTATATAGCGTACAATGTCGCAAACGCGTGGCGCACTAGTGTGACCTTTACTGTATTTATCAGTGGTCAGCGTGACATGCGGTAATATCGTGGACGAGTTGGACGAGGCCCCGTCACACATGTAAAGTCGCACGCGTGTCGAAATGTCGAGCTCCCCCCGGCTCGACCGCATGTATCTGGACGCCCGAAATGGTGACAATTTTGAGCGGGAAAAGCAACCGCCCTGCTCGTGTATCCAATTGAGTGGTACCCAGGCCCGTGAAGTTACGCATCCCTGCCCGCCAGCCGAAACCCAACTTCCCGTCCCTGCCATCTTGTCACCCACTTCAAACCCTCTCTCAACTCTAGTCCAGATCTATTCTCACCCTTGTTCTCTCTCGTTTATCTAGAACTTTTCTCTTAGGCAGCCATGGCTAGGAAGCGCAAGACAGCAGCAGACGCTACTACCGACGTCCCGCGGGATCTCAATGAGATCACGTACATAGCCTGGATTAACAAGCAGATTGCTTCGGGGCGCAAGCCCGCGGGCCCGATGCCTGAAGGAATACCGTCACCTGGAGCCACCTCCTACGAAGCTCCGCGTAACGTTCCAACGCGCGGTCACCGTGACGGCGACCGGATTGCATCCTCGCGGGTCATCGATGACAATCCGCTTGACGACGATAGCGATTACAACAAGTACGCCGTCGGGACCGACGACGAGGCGGACTCTGGCGAGGAGCCGGACAAGGGCATGTCCGACTCAGAGGATGACGGCGAGGGCAAAGAGTCCGAGGACGAGGCCGACGCACCAGAGGAAACTCAGCCCTCGGCCTCGACCACGCGTGCCGGCCGTGCGACGCTTGCAGGCACCGCGAAAACCGCCTCAAAGGGAGGCGAGCCTCCACGCCGCGTGTCGAAGACCCGCAACCAGATGCCTGTGAAGCGCAGTGTCTGGTCTCCGCTTGAGAGCACGATCTTTGTGGCCGCCCGCTGGTTCATGAAAGACGAACTAGAGCCGCTGCTGGGGAAGCAGGGCTCGCAGTATTGGGCGCGCCTTGTCAAGCACTTCGAAAAGGAGAACCCGGGGTGGGTTCGCAGCGTCAACGCAGTTCAGAAACAGTGGCGGAACCTCGTCAAGTTCTACAAGCAGCTCAAGAAGGGAGAAAAGGCGTTGGGAAAGGGTGCCGTGTGCAAGCCCTCATGGTACCCGTACATGGAACTGTATTGCAACAATCGGGCCGTCGCCAACCCACATGCTGTGGCTGGTGGCGGCGCGTCGAGCGTCAACGTGCTGTGCGGGTTCACGGTGCCTTCCACGTTGGCTCCAACCACGACTTCTCCAACCTTTACGGGTGAGTTTTGCATATTCCGTTATTTGGCACTGTGTTTTAGTGTAATTCTTTGAGGGGTATAGAATAGTAAATCTCTCAGAACCTTGCACGCCATACACACACGCAGGCTAACCACCAATGCATGTTTCTGCTTGCGTGTCCAGCCCCTCCTCCGCAGTGCACCCCACCCTCTAAACGCCCGCGGGTTGCGGAGACCGCAACCATGGACGCCGCGAAGCTAGTTTGTGAGACGATCAAAGGATGCCACGAGGATGCCATGTGCAAGCTCGAAGGACTCGTGCGCGCCTGAATGCAGCAGGACGAGCGAATTGCGCGCGAACGCCTCCAGCCGACTGTGCCACCTATGCCTGCACGCAACGACGCTCCCGCTGGCGCTGTCCCCCAGCCTGCCACGAACGCCACCGAAGGCAGCGACGACGGATGGCTCCACCGCGGGCAGACTGGAAACGACTCGGCTAACCCAGATGCGGACGAGGAAGTGTGGGTTCGCGGCGACGCCGAGTAAGGTACGACAACTCCAACGCCTCGCCAAGCCACTTGCGCCTCTCCTTGAGTGTTGCTTGTGTGAGAGGGACACATGGCTCCCACTTGAAATCGGCCACCGTGCCTCTTGTCGGGTGCTGGCGGGTCTCTGTTCCGGGGCAGGGTTGCCCACACCTTATTGATGCGCCCAACCTGCCCCATTGTCTCGCACATGTTGTGCAGGATTACGTAGCAAGACGCACCCGCCAGCACCCGCCACAGCTGGCAGTCGTTGCGGCCCGCGAATAGTCGCCATCTGCCCTTGAAGGCGCCGATGCAGCGTTCTACCGCCATGCGCGTTGCGCTCTGGCAATAGTTGAAGCACTGTGCCCAGTCTTCCATTAGGCCCTCATGGGGTGCATGTAGTGGGGTCAGGTAGAAATCTCTGAGTGGGTAGGCTGCATCTCCCACAATTTGATACGGCGCTATGTCCCCGTTGTGCAACCTTTCTTGTAACGCATTGTTCATGTACACCCTTTGGTCGTGTGCACTTCCCGGGCACCCGATCAGGTAATCCCAGATTATGCCACGCACATCACATATGAGCTGCAGTTGAACGGCGTACACCGACTTCCTCGTGTAGTACTCCTGTCTGTGCCCTTCCATCCCTTTTATGCGTATGTGCGTCCCATCTATAGCCCCAACCACTGTAAGTACTCCTTTGACGGCGCGGAACTCCTCGGCCATACCGGCGGGTTCTTCTGGAGTCGGGAAGTGCACCCACTGCTGCTTGAAGACGCTCGGGAAGTGCATGAGCCACGCGTCGACGAGTTCATGACAAAGGGTCTTCGACAACCCGAAATGCGATGTGAGGTCCACATACACCATACCACTGGCCAGGTACTTTATAGCCACCAAGCTCACGACGTCGTGCGAGACGAAGTATCGCTCAACGTAGGGCAGCATGTAGTACGCCATTCCCTGGACAATGTACGCTAGAATGGTGCGATTAATCCTGAAGAGATCCCTTAACTCCCTGTCGCCCATGCCCTGCAGGTCTTCGCAACAGCTCGTACCGTCGGCGACGCAGACGTGCCCTCCTTGTGCGCTCGACCGTCCTGTTGGATCAGTGAGAGCTCTCTGCCGTTGAGTGGTCGCTGTTGAATACCTCGGCTTCCAGGATGCCGCAGACAGCCCGTCCTACTACGTCCAAAAAAAATGGTGTAGTAGAATGTAATCCATGTGACTAGAAGGCGCATGAGAAATGGGACAGCACGAGGTTCCGCCATGACTGCAACCACAGCCACAGCTGCAGTGTGTGTGTGATGTGGTAGTTTGGGAGATGGAGCAGATGATGCTCGTTGTGCATTTGTAGGTGTTGATGCGATGCACTAGGCTGCGTTGTACGAGGTGTTTGGTGTGGTGCAGCAGGCACAAATTGTTTACAGCCGTGCCCGGCGCCAAACATCCCAGACACGGGCCCAATGGGGCGATCCAATCAAATTCGATTATGTGTATTTGGCAGGGTCCTCGACATCAGACATTTTTGTCTGTTTGTCTTAGTTTCCAGACGATTTTTTTCCAGTTAATATGATTTTCAAGGAATGATTTATTTTTTCATCTGATTGAGTAAAAATCATTTTTTGTCTTCATCTGATTCATCAGAAATGTAATATATGTTTCGTCTGAAATCGAAACATGTTAGAGTACGGGGATTTCCCGCAGAACATGCTCTGACAGGGCAAATCTGTTGTCAAAGCGAATCTGCTGTGTTGTGTAAGGTCGAATCTCTTGTGTCAGGACGAGTTTTCTATGATTGGATGAACATGTTGCGCTCTGACGTCGTGAATCTGCCGTGTCAGAGCAAATTTAGGGTGCTCTGACAGGGCGAATCTGCCGTGTTAGGGTGATTTTGCTGAGACCAGTGAAGTGCGAATCACACCAGTTTGTACTGCGAATGAATGTGAAAGGTCCAGAAAAGTCAGACTCACCTTGTTATCCCACGTGCATCTACACGCTAGAAACTCTATTTTAATTGGTCAGACAAGTTCTTTTGATTACTTTTTTTTTTGGTAGGTGAAAATGCATTATACAACGTACAACGCAAAACACCGTCGGTCGTAACCGGAGCTAGAGGGCATAGGTAGTGTATACCGTACCCTCGCAGAAATCTACGGAGGCTTGTAGACCAAACGCCTAAAAACTTCAACTTGCCTGCCACAAAATCTAACTGTGCCGTTGCCACACTTCAACTCTGGCAGAAACGCCTCGGTAGGTTCCAAGTTCTGTATCTGTTGCTTCAGCTTGGAAGAATTGGCTCCGAGCCTGCCCTGCCGTGCCTTGTAAAAAGGTTGGGTTCCAACAGAGAAAACCCTGGTTCGAAATCGCTGCCGTGCAGGACTTTGGTGACAGATGTTCAGTCTTGGTCCTTTCGCTCCAAATCTTATTCGCCGAGAGTGGTGGGGTTGGGTTGGGAGAGCAGAAATTGCCCTGGTTCGAAGTTGCTGCCTAGCAGCTGTGCCCCGTACACCAAAGCCTCCTATGGCAGGCAGTTGCGTGAGCTGAATGCTGGGGGCAACCCCCACTTTCTGAGGGAAGATAGGAGCAGCTGCATCCGCGACAGAATTTTGAGTAGCTTCACACACCGCAGTCGTAACGTGGCGTCATAGCCTTGTTTCCTCCAGCGACATAGGCTTATCCTGAAAATGTTCTTCCGTAGAATCCACCATGATATGCTTCTTCATGTCAGCATCATGTTGCCATAAGTTGTCGCCGAGAAATATAGAGAAATTTTCTTATTGAGATGATAGTGAAGCCATTCAGAATATTGGTAGTTCTTGAACTGATATGGTCAGAGTCGATCGTTTGGAACATGATCTTGGTTCAGATTCATAGTTATTCCTTGTCGTGCGTTGCCGTGACGAGCGTGAAGCTCCTGTGAATCGTGAACGATGTAGGAAGGCAGAAAGTGTTGCACTTGTAGTTCTTCGCGGGAACCATTTTAAATGTCCTTCACTTTGCGTTTGCTGCAAACAGGATGTATACCCTGTCTTGTCAGAAACCATCGCTGATCCGGATTTAGTCGCTCTTGACGGTGGTAATAAACATGTCCGCGGGTAACGAGACGTTTCATTTCTTGTCTCTTGTTGAAGAATGGCAGAGAAGATTGATAGGCGAAAAATATTTGGCGGTCCAGCTGCCTTGTACTTTCTCGTCTCATGTCTTGTGTTGCTTTCCAGGTTCCAGCTCCGATGATGACGTGCTAAGCCTGGGCATTATAGCTTCCTTAGAGCAACTAAATGTCTTGAGCTTAAAACCAATTTAAGAACCTGAAAACAGATCTTCACAAGAGGAAGTCACGACGAACCAATGTTCTCTGTTTGAACATAAAGTGGTGTCGAAACCAAGCCCTTGATGAGTAGACCCAAAATATGTATTCAGATCTTGAAGCTGATAGTAAAGGTTAGCTTGACATTGCACGAGTTGAAGTTATCGTAGGAGCCATGGCGGAGAGCTTTAGTTCTTTTGAAATTTGTTGATGCATCAGACACGCAAAGGCGAAATATCTGATGCATCAGACGGGCCCGAAGGGCCCGTGTGACGCATCAGGGGGGTTCAAATCCTAGCGAGGACCCTGGTATTTGGTATTCTGTCTCACAATGTTGCGATACATCAGCTGTTTGTGACGCGCAAATTTGCAAATTTACAGACGCGACTCGGGAAAAGGGGGATTGAGACATTTGTGTCCACACTGGAATGTACCCTTATGTACAGTAAAAGCACAATGTACAAGAACAGAGAGGTGCTATAAGGATTCACCTCGAAGGGGGATGTTACAACGAAAATGAGTCGAAATAAAGCACCCACCCCACAGAAGCCACCCCGGGATGTTCGGCAGGTGGTATGCCTGGGTGATGACGGGTACCGGTACCGTAACCATGCTGTACCCACCCCACACAAGTACCGTTAGTGCACCATGCTGCTACACACAGAACCTTTGACTCTACTCTTTCAAAAGAGTCCTCAAGTTCAAAACGCTTGGTACTCTGAAACTGCATGCCAATGCCTGCGAAGTGAAGCGAAAACCAGGCGTGTTGATGGAGTACACGCGGACGGAAGTGCGTGGATTTTGCCGATGGTTTTGAGCCGCGTCAGTTACAGTTGTGCAAGATGGCAAAGGTGTTTCACAAATCTGGTTCGCTCTATAAAGATATGATGGCACTAGTGTTTGCTAACAGCAGCCAGCCTCACTCAGGTGGTGGCTACTCCCTCACTCAACCCATGGGCTCCAGACTTTTGGCAGCATTAAGACATGACAAACAGGACCAGCAACAACGTTGTTCCACCAGTGGCCTCTCAACAGCAAACACTAGCACCTATACCCTACTCTACACTACATGCGCCCGACTGCCAGTCCCTTGCCTTGCCTGGACGTTCACATCACATCACATCACATTACTCCACCTCCTCCACCTCCACTTTTGCCTCACCTGTGCTTCTGCCACACCCACCCTGTGCGGCTCTCACATCAGTCACACCCGGCACATGGAGGGTCACACCCGGCACATGGAGGAGAGGGTCACCTGGCACTGCGCAGGAGCATTGCTTCTGGAATGCGATATCAGGTTCCCCTCATATGTCACCACCCCCACTGCCTCGCTGTTCCTCCTCCACCTCGCGCCACCTCCCTCCATCTCCCTTCACCTCCACTCTGCCCCACCCCTGCTGCCACATCCTGTGTGGCTCTTGCATCAGTCACACCCGGCACTGCGCAGGAGCCTTGCTGCTGGCATGCGATATGATGCTCGCCTCATCTGCCACCACCCCCGCTGCATCGCTGTTCCTCCTCCACCTCCACACCGCCTCGCCCTTGCTGGCGCCCCCTCCCACTGACAGCACCCCAAACCCATACGCTGCCTGCCGGAAGGCCGACCACACAGGCTTGGGGGAGAGGAAACTGCGCGTTGAGGGGGAAGGTAGGAGAGGTGGGGATAGGTTATATAACACCGGGAGAAAGAGGTGACCACGCAGTCTTGGGGGAGAGGAAACCGCGCGTTGAGGGGGAAAGTAGGAGAGGTGGGGATAAGGAGGTTTTATAACACCGGGAGAAAAAGGTGACCATGCAGGCTTGGGGGAGAGGAAACTGCGTGTTGAGGGGGAGGGGGGGAAGTTGGAAGAGGGAGGATTTTCAACCCGCTGGGGAGGGGGAGGAGGAGTAGGGGTGGGAGGATTGGAGTGGGAATGAAAGGTGGACAAGGGAAAGAAAGTGAGACGATTTGAGGAACGACAACAAGGAGGGGTCGGGCTAATTTGAAGAAATTACTTTTAAAAGAGGTGCAAGGGAGAACGAGGAAGAAGAGACGAAAAGGGCAATTGAAAGAAGAGGAAAGACTAGTTAGGGAGGGGGGTTTTGTCAGTGCGAGCAGGGGAAGGAGAAGAGGTGACGAGAAAGGGCATTTCGACCAGGAAGTCAAGGTAGTGGGGTTGCATTTGATTGACAAGGAGTGAAGGAGGATGAAGAGGAAACGAGAAGCCTGTGGGAATTTGGTTGGCATGAAGCAAAATACAGTGTGGCGGTGCCTTATGCCATGACTATCAAAATGATAAGGATGGCTTAAAACGAGTCGCTTGTGTGTGTGCGTGCGTGTGTGTGTGTGTGTGTGTGTGTGTGTGTGTGTGTGTGTGTGTGTGTGTGTGTGTGTGTGAGCATGAGCGTGCGTCTGCGTGTGAGCATGCGCGCTCGCGCATGTGCATGTGAGTATGTTTCTATCAACGCATCTGCACTTAGAACGAGTTACCTTGTGTAAAGGTCGGCCCCACCGCTGCCGACAGTGAGGTGCACCATGCCGCAGGGGTCCTGGGCGTTGTTGTAGAGAGGCAGCTGGGGGAACGTGATGGTGGGGGATGCATGCATGGGATAGTTGGGAGATGCATGCACATGATGTTGGGAAGATGCATGCAACGACAGAATACACACTGATATTCAAATTCAAGGAGCGTACACACCGACATCAGCAGTGAGATGCAGCATGGCATGCACAGGTTGAAGAGAGAGTGGGAAGGGGATATGAGCGGACAAGGAGAGGGGAGTGGTGACAAGAGGGATGAGAGGGCAAGGGAATGCAGAAGACGGGGAGAGAGAAGATGGGGAGGCAAGGAGCTGAATATACGGATGGGGAACAGTGAGTTGGGGTGGCATGCCATGCATCCCAGAGGATGGCATGGGCCGGCCTGAAATGCTTTATGCAATCACCATGCATGCCCCCATGCACGATGCCACATGCACCATCCTTCATGTGACGCTCGCTGTCCTTAGTGACAAGTGCAAATGATCTTTCATGGCACACAGAATCTGCTCCAGCGCCCTGGCAGCACAAGAGCATCACCTCTCATCATACACCACACATGACCATGAGCATGCAAAGCCCCCCCGTAGCCTCGGACACTCTCCATGCACTGCGCATGCACGTGCGTGCGTGCATAAGCCTACTACCATGCCAATCCCTCCCCCACCTCTCCCCTCCCCCTCCAAACCACCATGTGCTCATAAGCTCTCCAAACCACCATGTGCTCATAAGCTCTCCAACTCACCGTGCGCTCATAAGCGTGAACGTGCCCGCACGCACGCGGCACACCACCACATCCGTGCGCACATCATACAGCATCTTCTCGAGCGCCAGGCGCATGTCCTCCCACCACACTGCGCACACCATTCAACTCAACTCATACAGCATCTGCGTTCAACTCACCGTCCTCTCGTAAGCATGCACGTGGCCGCACACCACCACGTCCGTGTGCGCGGCGTACAGCAGCTTCTCAAGCGCCAGGCGCATGTCCTCGCCGCTCTTATGGTGGTCCTTGTTGCTGTGATACCACGGCTCGTGGAACGCCGCTATCAGCCACGGCGTCACCTTGCGATCCACCTTGGCTAGGTCTGCCTGCAGAAAGTGTGCGGGAGGGGAGGAAAGGGGTTTTGGGGTTGGGGAGAAGGGGGGAATTCAAACGAGAAAAAGAGGTTTGAGTGCGACCTACTAGCAGCATCAACAGCACACACAGAAAGACAGCATAGAGGGAGAGCAGAGAGGGAGAGCAGAGAAGGAGAGCACAGAGGGATAAGCATGCAGGGCCTGGCAGCATACCTGCAGCCAGTTGTACTGAGCGGATCCCTGGGAGTAGTCGGAGTAGCAGGACAGCACGACCCAGTGAATGCTGCCGCTGTCAAACGAGTAGAAGAGGTTCGAGGGCGACCCACTGGCAGCGGCCGGCATGGGCCAGCGCGCGTTGTACGCCTTGAAGGGGTTGGAGCTCGGTGCGCCCTCGCCCGCCTCGTCCTCGTGGTTCCCCGGGGCCATCATCCAGGGGCGGAGAGATGAGGCAGGCTGGATGAGGGACTGCCACGTGTCCCAATCTGGTTGGTAGCCGTTGGCGTAGGAGAGGTCCCCTGGGAAGACCACGAGGGCGTGGGGCGTGCGGGAAAGGCGCGAGATGGTGGCGGCTGCTGGTGGCGCAGAACCCATGTCGGCTGGTGGGGGGGAAGGTGGGGGGGTGTGGTAACGGGGATGGGGGAGGAGAGGGAGGTGGGGTTGGGGGAAGGAGGGAGGGTTATAGAGAGATTTTCGTGTGCTGAGGGAGAAAGAGAGGGGTGGCACGAGATGCGAGTGATGATAGCGGCGGCTGCTGCTGCTGCTGTGTTCAAGGCGGCCCGCAGCGTGCATGGGTGGGAAGGAAAGGAGGGGAGACGATAGGGACCAACGGGTAGAAGTAGGAGAAGGCGGAGAAGGGGGAGAAGGGGTAGAAGGCGGAGAAGGGGGAGAAGGGGGAGAAGGCGGAGAAGGGGGAGAAGGGGGAAAAGGCGGAGAAGGGGGAGAAGGGGGAGAAGGCGGGCGAGCACGAGAGGCGAGCGATGGTGGCGGCTGCTGCTGCTGTGTTCAAGGCGGCCAGAGTGCATGGGTGGGAAGGAAAGGAGGGAAGACGATAGAGGCCAGTGGGGTAGAAGGGGGAGAAGAGGGGAAAAGGGTAGAAGGGGTAGAAGGCGGAGAAGGGCGATAAGCCTTCAGGCGTAGCCCCTCCCACTTCGCCCACCCACATCCCCTGTCCCCAAACCACAACACAGCCACACACAAAGCAGCGCAGCCCACCCTGTCCCAAGCCACAGACACAACACAACACAACACAACACAACACAACACAACACAACACAACACAACCGGTACGGCCAGCCAAACACAAGAGGTTTGACCCACCCACGAGCGCCACGCTGATGGGTTGGGACGATGGCGGCGGCGTCTTGAAGGCCCTTGCAGGCCCCGCGCCTCCCAGGCGGTAGTAGTAGGTGGTGCCGGGCTTTAAGACGCCGTCCTTCCTGGGCCGCCCCAGCAGCACCTTGTGGATGTACCCCGACCTGCTTGCGGGTGGCAGGGCAGGGATGATGACGTGGCGATGGGGCAGGGTGGGAACAGGGCATGGGTGACGTGGCAAGATGGCATGGAGAATGTGGCAGAAAGAGGACGCAGTCAGGGGCATTGGAGCATGCAGGGAGAGGAGGGACGGAAGAGAGGAAACGAAATTGAGAGAGGAGCTAAAAAGGTGAAGTGGAGAGATACAGGGAACGAATAACTCGTACGTGTATCCATTAAGCGTATAACGAGTCACACTCCCGGAAGCCGTTTTGGTGTACTTGCCGCGGCTCTCCCCATACTCCACACTGGCGGGCGTGCTGCCACTCGTTACCCACCACACCAGCACCCGCCCGCCCCCCGCCAGTGACACGTGCACCTGCATGGGAGGAGGGGAGGGGAGGGCGGGGTGGGGGGGGTGGGGATGGTGGTGGGGGGGGGGGAAGGGGGAGGAGAGGGGGGGCAGGGGAGAGGCAAGGGCATGGCGCAAAGGCATGGGGCACTAGCTGGTGTGTTGCCAGCTGTCGCCCACCACACCAGCACTCGGCCGCCGCCCGCCAGCGATACGTGCACCTGCATGCGCGGGGGGTGGAGGGGAGCGGAGGGCAGGGCGGAAAGGCCTCATGGGGCATGGCGCAAAGGCATGGGTAGTGGCGCAGGGAAGCGGAGGTCGAGACTTCCATTGCCCGTGCAGGGGAGGCCTTGCCTCGATTGGCTGCCTCGTTGGGTGGGCAAGAGGCGAAGGCGCGAGGGGCACAGGGCAAGGGGGGGCAAGGGGCTCAAGAAAGGGCAGGGGACAAGGGGCAAGGGTAGGGCAAGGGGCAAGGGGACGGGCAAAGCGGCAAGGGGGCAAGCGGAAAGGGGGCAAGCGGCAATGGGCAAGCGACAAAGAACAAGGAGCAAGGGGCAAGCGGCGCAAGGGGCAAGGGGGAAATGAGCAAGGGCGCAAGCATCAAGGGGCAAGCGGCGCAAGTGGCAGGGGGCAGGGGGGTGCAACTTGCGGCAACACGCCCGGGGCAAGGGGGAAGTGCCGTGCCTGTTGAGGCTGCGATTGCGCTATCTGCCGCAGCAGCACCCGCCCGCCGCGCAACCAGGCTGTGCGATTTCCACCCTGCGCGGAGCCAGCAGATGCCGCGTGGGGGCAGGCGGCGGCGACGAGCAGCGCGAGCAGCGCAAGAGCACGGAAATTCCGCGCAACGGCGCAAGGCGATCGGCGGAGAAAATGCGCGGAACTAACGATGGCGGGCCGTCTACTATTCATTGCGGGACTGATGCTATTACACGGCTGTGTTCGAAACTCCAAACACGAAAGCGTACAATCCTAAATCTTCAAACAAGGTAATAAACGTGGCGAGTGGATAGGTTTCCCTTTTACCGTAACAGGTCGATGTCACTGTAGAGCCCCGCGGAGTTCATGGCGCCTGGCAAAAAGGACTGTATTCTCAGTTGAGTTGCATTGTAAGGAAGGAACAGCCTAATGTCGCAGAGTCGCACTACTAACCGCCTAAGATTGCATTCCCTCTGGACGTTCGCTCGCATCGCTGTTTAGCCGTGAGATTTGATCGCACGATGGGACTCGTGGCGTTGGCCAGTCAGTACAACATTCGTTGTCAGGTAAGAAACAAGTGTAACCGTCGAACCGCGCTTCGTTCCCCGGACCAGAGCAGACAAACGCCATCTAATCTACTGACGATTAATCTGAAGTGTAACTCAAAGCAGAGTGAAGCGGGTCATACTTTTGTTCGGTTCCAATATGAATTAACAATCTTGGTGCGCAATGGCCCAAACGAACCGCGACTGAATATAATTGACCGTATTAAACCATGTCAAATGAGCCCCGAACAAAAAAAAATTGCCTGCCCTTATCCAAAACCCAACTGCAGCTCAGCCCTGGCAGTCGAATGAACTTTTCATGTCGGCGAAGTTCGGTTTGGATGGATGTGCTGACTGTTGTCAATTTCGATTGTTGGGTAAGGGGCGCTCCCACGTGCTATCCCACTCGTTCCACGTGGATACCGCAGCACAGCACATATACACCCTGTTTCTCAATACTATGAACTGTGCCGAACTGGTGGAAAACCTAGCTACCTTCGATTTGTCTGATTGAACCATACCGAGACTTCATCTAACCACTGTAAACCGTGCTTTTCCCATCTTGACTTCCCTAAAACCGGATTCACAATGGCGAGAAAGAGGGTGTATGCTCGACCACCGACATCGACGGACACCACCTTCGTGTCAACGAAGCGGACGGTGTTTGGACGGTTTGGTACGGAACGGAAGTTGCGGCGGACAAGGGGAAAGACTCACTTGAACAGTGTCCTCTTTCCGACGAACTGATTCAACTTGTTTTTAGAGCCAGACGTACATAACTGGAAAATCAGACGGATACATACTTCAATCTCTATGAACCTCAAACAAGTCCTAAAACACAAGTGAAGTGAAACCTTTATATCGTGTCCGCACTATTGAGCCGCTTATACTGAATGAGTGGAAAACTCCACAATAATTGACCTGTTGATTCAATATCCAAACACAACGGGATATCTAGCCAAGTACAGTATAAGGCGTGGCGTAGATTAGAAGACCGCAAGCTCCACTGAAATCCATACAGCTATATGAAGCATCTCTCCTCCCTCCTTCAGATCTACTACCGGTACATGAAATGAACCATCTCCCTGTGAGGCAACTTTTGAGTCGACTCAAGACTTTGAACAGGTCAACGCTACAGCCTCCTGCTTTGCATGAACCATCTCCCAGCGGCGTATTTCGATGGTTGTTGGCAATCGACTTATCCAGAAAACTCCAACGAGTAATGAACTCCATACAAGGCCACATGGAAAATACTTCCTTTCGTGGACCCTATATGAACCATCTCCCTTCGAGACCTACATGAACCATCTCCCCGCGGCGTATTTTGATTGGTTGTTGGTGGCCGTCTTATCCAGAAAGGGTCCGACGAACCAATGGCGTGCGTCGACAAACCACCAGACGAAGAAGAAGGAAACTACCACGAAGATTCCGACACACGCGTAGTTGAAGTTGCTTGCGGTGATGGGGAAGACCATTGGTAGCATAAAGATGCTGACTGTTTCAAGGACAAAGAGAATGGCTCCAATGTTGATCAGTTTCCTGCACTCCAATAGGCAGAGGGTGAGTGAGAGATAGAGAGAGGAGGGGAGGGGTGGAGGTGAATGAGTAGTGCCTTCTGCAAGGGTTAGAGAAGAGGAGAGAGACCATGGTTTAGGGAGGAGGGGTGAATGAGCAGCGCCGTCTGCAAGGGTTAGAGAAAAAGACAGAGATCAACTCTTATGCCCCATACACACACTCGTACCAGGCTCGCACAGACCGAGGCAGAGCATTGCAGCAAGGCAAGGCAAGTCTTGAAAGGTCTCAAGAAACCCACATGAGGTATACATACGAGTTTCGAGACATGTCAAAAGATGTTCGCACCAGGAGCAAACCCACTAAGAGAGTGAGCACTGCTGCACCAAACCAAGCCATGCCATGCCATGCTGTGCTTTCTAACTCACCTGCCCCACGCACCCTCTCCCGCCCTCACCTGCCCCAGACGCCGACGTATTTAGAGAGGTAGAACGGGCCCGGTTCAAAGTCCTCCTCCCTTTGAATGAGCCGAAAGAAGATGGGGACAGCATAGCCGCCCACCCAGGCGACGGTGGCGAGGGAGGTGATGGCGGAGAAGAGGAAAGAGTCCTTGAGGAGTGGCAGGGAGAAGAGGATGGCGACGCCACAGCAGAGCCACACGGAGTAGATGGGCGTCTTGTCTCGGTTCACCCGCCGCCAGATGAACGCGAATGGCAGGCCCTTGTCTCGCGATATGGCGTAGGCCTGGGGGGATGGGGTGGGCGGGGGAGGGGTGCAGGGGGTGCAGGGCGGAGCGGAGGGGGGGAGGGGATGAGGAGAAGGTGGGGAAAAGGAGGGAATGTGTAAAGGGGAGTAGCCAGGGGATTAGTGAGGAGGAAGAGGGCAGAGTCCTCGAGGAGGGGCAGGGAGAAGAGGATGGGTGAAAAGGATGAAGGAGCAAGCACAGGCAGGGGCGGGTGAGCAAGCACAGGCAGGGGCGGGTGAGCAAGCACAGGCAGGGCCGGGTGAGCAAGCACAGGCAGGGCCGGGTGAGCAAGGCAAACACATGGACGGATGGGAGTGACTGACTGACCGCTCCGAGGGCTCCAAGCCAAGAAGGCCTCCTTGCTGAATTCAGATTTGAGAATTCTCAAAAGCAACTCGGGCTGTGCTTGCAAGCAGAGGGCGGAGGGAACAGTGACTGACCGCGCGGGAGGCGCCAAGAATGCCGGCGAAGACGCCAAAGAGGAAGGCGATGTAGATGAGTGAGAGCACCACCACCGCCCCTGTGCCGCTGCCGAAGCTGTTGCAGGAGACAGGCATAAGAGGGGACAGCAACACACGGGAGCACGAGGGGGGTGCATGGGAGGATGGAAGAGGAAGGCGATGTAGATGAGCGAGAGCACCACCATCGCCCCTGTGCCGCTGCCAAACCTGTGGGGGGAGGGGGGCATGTTGGGGGGGGAGTGGGGCAAGCAGAGGACAGTAGGGAGGAAGAGGAGGGCAATGCAGATGCGTGAGAGCACTGCCACTGCCCAGCTGGTGGGGAACATAACCCCTGCATAGCTGTCAAAAGTGTGGTGGGAAAGGGGTTAGGGTGATAAGGGGAAAGAGAGGTGAACACGGGGGTTTGGAAGAGGAAAGCGACGTGGATGAGCGAAAGCACGACTTTTGAGGCGCCTCAAAAGACGATGAGAGTGGATGAGCAAAAGCACGACCACCACCACCCCTGTGTCGTTGCCAAGACTGTGCGGGGAGGGGGGGGGAGGATGGGGTGGGCGTGGTTGAGGTGAGAATGAGGAGGATATGAGTGAACACAGGAAAGGTGGGATATGACAACACATAGGGGGAAGGGGGAAAGGGGAAGCCATATACCAAGCCAATCACTAAGCAACTCCCGAACCTCTTATGGAGGCAGTTCTTGAGACACCCACCACGCCGCGAAGGCCTCCCGTATGATGGTAGCCAGGATCTGCTGCCAGCCCGTCATGCTGTCCCTGCTGGTGAGATTGCCACCGCTCTAAACACCCAAGTACCCTTGGTGAAGCCCACGGCAGGTTGCTTGCACGCGAGCAGCAGCCGAACCACTTCCCCAGCCACTTACCGAGCCACAAAGGCCTCCCAGATGGTAGTCAGTAACCGACTGATGAGCCGATCTGATCTGCTGCCCGCCCGTAACGCTATCCGTACTGGTGGGATTCTCTTCGTCCTGAATGCTAAAAGTGAAGGCCACGAGCAGCCCCCGGGCGAGCCACTTACCGAGGCACCTACCGAGCTGCCCACCGAACCACGTACCGAGCGAAAAAGGCCTCCCAGATGATGGTAACCAGGATCTGATTGCCGGCCGTAACGCTGTCCGGGCTGGTGAGGTTGTCGTCGTTCTGAATGCAGAAGGTGAAGGCGACGAGCAGCCCCCACGCGAGCAGGCTGACCGCGGACAGGCAGAGCACCATGCTGGCTGGGGACGCGCGATCGGAGCGCTTGGTCTCCTCTGCCATGTGGGCCACTGTGTCGTATGCGTAGAGGGAGTACTGCGATAGCTGCATCGCTGCTATGAAGGCGTACGCCTGTAAGAGAAGAATAGGGTGCGGTGAAGAGAGGTGAAGAGAGGTGGGTCTCAGGTAGAGAGCGCTTGGTCTCCTCTGCCATGTGGGCCACTGTGTCGTATGCGTAGAGGGAGTACTGGGATAGCTGCATCGCTGCTATGAAGGCGTACGGCTGGGCAGGGTCCAGAGGGGAAGGGAGGGAAGGTGAGAGAGGGAATAGATGAAGTTGCATGTGGGTGGTGGCGGGTGCGTGTCTCTGCCATGCTGGCTGGCAGAGAACGTGTGGTTAGAGCTCTTGATTTCTTCTGCTATGTGGGCGGCGGTGTCGTATGCGTAGAGGGAGTACTGGGACTGCTGCATGGCTGCTATGAAGGCGTAGGCCCGGGGGGGGATTGGAAGGGGGATGTGCAGCAATGGGTATCAAAGTGAGAGGAGGGGCACGCAGGTGAGAGGCGTTTTTGAGGCGCCTCGAAACTTGCCTGGGAGGTGGGGATGGGGAGGGAGGCAGGGATTGGCATCACAAGTCAGAGGAGGGGCACGCACTTGTGTGACACTTTGAGCAACATCAGTCCAGGGCCTGTCATGCTGGGTTTAGACGAAGAGATTCAGTGGTGCAGAGTGGTGCAAAGCGTGCGGCAATGACACATCCAGCTGCAACTTGTAGTGAGTAGAGAAGAAAGCTGGCGCATAGCGCACGCACACAGGCCATAGATTGAGCGGTGCAGAATAGTGCAGAGAGGTGTAGAGTGTTGTAGGGTGGTGCAGTGGTGGCGCAGTGGCAGTGCACTGGCATTGCAGTGCGGTACTCACCACAGTGGTCAGCAAAGACACGTCCGGCTGCACGTGTTCTGGGTGAAGACCAAGGCTGGCGCCTGGCGCACATAGGTCATTTATTCAACGGTGCAGAGCGGTGTACAGTGGTGCAGAGTGGTGGAGATGGGTACTCACCATAGTGGGCAGCAGAGACACGTCCAGCTGCACGTGGTGGTGAGTGAAGACGAAGGAGGCACTCTGGTGCACTGGCGCTACCGACGGCAGCAGAATCATGATGACCATGGCGAGACCCATCTAGGGACGAAGGGAGTGGTTGAGGGCAGAAGAAAGGGTGGGAACACGGGTAGAGGGAGGTTGGCTTGGCAGCAGCAGGGGAATGGGATGGGATGACTGGCAGTAGCGAGGGGAGCAGAATCAGCTGCTCAAAGGGGAAACCCATGTGGAAGGGGAAACCCGTCTGGGGAGTAAGGGGGGGAGAGTAGCATGAGCCCGGGAGGGAAGGGGGATGGAGAATGATGGAAGAGAGGATGGGATGACTGGCGCAGCGCACAGGTGCTAGTGCTACTGCGGTGCAGCAGAATCCTGGAGACTATGGCGATTCCCATTTGGGGAGGGGGAGAGTGGTAAGTGGGAGAGGGGAGGGTGGAAGCAGGGGAATGCGGTGAGCGGCGGTATCAAGGGCAGCAGAAGAATCATGGTGTGGTGACAAAGGCGAGTCCCATCTGGGGGTGGAGCATGGGAGAGAAACATAGAGAGAAACTGATAAGTGTACCTGACCTGACCTGATAAACAGCACTGCTGATTACGGCCACACGACCGATGCACTCGATTGAGAAGGAGTTGAGGATGCCGCAGAGGAGAGCACGTGAATAGAAGGGGGGGGGGGGAGGAAGGAGGGGAGGAGGAGTGGTGCTGCTGAGCGGCTACAGTGAAGGGGATGCTGCTAAAGTGATGGCAACCCACCTGGTAATCATCAGCGCTCATCACGGCCACACGGCCGATGAACTTAATTGAGGAGTTGAGAGGAGGAGAGGGAAGTGTGGGAGGGGGGCGAGCAGGGGAGTGCGCGCAAGTGGGAAGGGAGGCTGACCTGACAAACAGCGCTCATCACGGCCAGACGGCCGATGAACTTGATGGGGAAGGAGTTGAGTTGAGGAGTCGGAGTGTTTGTGAGCGGGCGGGCGGGCGGGAGGCATGCATAGAGCAGGGGAGGGTTTCGGGGAGCTACTTACAAAGCATTGCTGCCATAGTAGAGACAGGCAGATTACCTGATAGACGGCACTGACGACGGCAAGGCGGCCAATGAACTTGATGGAGAAGGAGTTGAGAATGCCGCAGAGGACAATTGCGCCCACTGTGATGGCAAATGACTCGTAGTTGTTCAGCAGGTAGCCTCCCCCATTCGCCCCTCCTGGTGATGGGAAGGAGGGGGGGGGAGAGAGTGGAAGGGGAGGAGAAGGAGACGCGTGAGAGGAGAATGGTACCCACTGTGATGGCGCCCACTGTGATGGCAAACGACTGGTAGTTGTTCAGCAGGTAGCCCCCGCCGTTGGTCCCTCCTGGTGATGTGAGAGAGAGAAGAGAATGGAGAGAGCGTGAGGAGAGGGAGGCGGAGAGGGAGAGGGAGAGGGAGAGGGAGAGGGAAAGGGAGAGGGAGAGGGAGAGGGAGAGGGAGAGGGAGAGGGAGAGGGAGAGGGAGAGGGAGAGGGACGGGTGGGGGAGTGGGACGAGGAGGAGGGGCAAGGCAGAGGGGAAGGCGAAGCTGAGAACACTGGCACCAGCTGTGATGGCTAAGGCTGGCTGGCTGTTGGTTAACAGGTAGCCCTGCCATTTGACTGTCCTCTCTTGGCTCCGAGAAAGATAGGTGCAGAAGGATACGGGAGAATCCACTCCACTCCCGAATGCTCTCTTGTCTGTCCCTGAGCTACTTTGCTGGGCGATCTTTGAGGAGCCTCAAGACGGACAGAGGAAAATGCTTCATAGTGCTCTCTTGTAACGAGGTGACTTTTGAGTCGACTCAAAACGACTGTAGCGGAGAATGCCTCGTTGTGCTCTCTTGTCTGTGGAGATACAACAACTGTCGAGGGGACTCAAACCTCACCTCGAAATGGGGTGGGGTGATACACCTCAATACGCTCGCTCATTGAGGTCACAATACACCGTGCTCGGCACCTCAATACGCTCACTCATAGTGCTCTCTTGCCAGTCCATATGCATGGAGTAACTGTAGGATAATATATCAAACAATTCATTCCACCCGGCAATCTTCACGGTTCTTCTCAAGATAGGATAGGATGATGTATCGGGATGGGATAGGACAGGATAATGTACACACCATGCATGCATGCAGCCGGATGGGATGGAAGTGCCTGTGGCAGCGAGCACGGTGTACTGTAGCACGATCACGCCGCCGTACAAGACGCCGCTTGGTTCAAAGCCCCACTGTATGTTGGCCTGGTCTAACCCAAAGCCCCACACAGATGGCAGTACCTGTGGCGACCAGCACGGTGTACTGTAGCATGATCACCCCGCCGTACGAGACGCCGCCCAGCCCCACAGAAAGGCCGAGAAACTCAAGCCAGCCTTGCAGAAGGGGCGGGGGGAAACCGGGGTTGGGATGAGATGATGTGGAGAGAGGGGTTGGGATGAGATGATGTGGAGAGAGGGGTTTGGATGAGATGATGTGGAGAGAGGGGTTGGGATGAGATGATGTGGAGAGAGGGGTTTGGATGGGATGATGTGGAGAGAGGGGTTTGGATGAGGCGCGGGGGCAGACGGGCTGGGATGAGATGTGGGTGGGGACGGGTCGAGTTCATGTTTGAGAATTACTAAAACAATAAAAGTAACCAGTACCATCGCACGCCACTCAAAGGCAACCCCCCCCCCCCCCCCTGGCCCCCCCAAGGCCCCCCTAAGGCCCCCCTACCCCCCAACTCTCCTCACAGCCCCTCACACAGCACCCCACCCCCCCCCCACCCCTCGCATCGCCCCTCACACAGCCCCCCTCACACAGCCCCCCTCACACAGCCCCCCTCACACAGCCTGGCCGGGCCAGAACTTACATGCATGCCCTGGTTTCTTTTTGTCTGTCCCTGTCCCTGCTGGCCTCTGTCTCTCTCTAATAATTGACTTCCATTTCGGTTTTTGCCTGTCCCTGTCTCTCTCCCTGCTTCTGTTCTCTGTTTCTCTTCCTGTTTTGGTTTCACATCCCGAGCCTCCGCTCGAGGTCTGGCCTGACCTCCCCGGGTCGCCCCGGACCTCTCCAGGCCTGGCCAGGGCACGGCCACACCGGCTCATATAGCATGCCAAACACGCACGAGTACCTACCTAAGTTTGGAATCCATTTGTCAATCCTAGAGTATGTATTTACTATCCTACTTGATCATTGTGTCTTCACAGCAGAGAGCGTCAAGATGGCGCCCCGCAAGGGAGAACCCCACCTGCCAAAGGTGGTGTGGGGTGGGGTGGGGTGGGGTGGGGTGGGGAGGAGGGACGGATGGGGGGATGGTGGGTGTGAGGGGATGGCGTGTGGCGGGTTCTGAAGCTTGGCAGATGTGGCGAGTGGTGGGGAGGAGAGGAGGTGAACACAGGGGAGGAGAGTTGAGCAGAGGGGAGGAGAGAAGGTGAGCGAAGGGGAGGAGAGGAGGTGAACGGAGGGGAGGAGAGGAGTTGAACGGAGGGGAGGAGAGGAGGTGAACGGAGGGGAGGAGAGGAGGTGAACGGAGGGGAGGAGAGGAGTTGAACGGAGGGGAGGAGAGGAGTTGAACGGAGGGGAGGAGAGGAGGTGAACGGAGGGGAGGAGAGGAGTTGAACGGAGGGGAGGAGAGGAAGAGAACGGAGGGGAGGAGAGGAGGTGAATGGAGGGGAGGAGAGGAGGTGAACGGAGGGGAGGAGAGGAGTTGAACGGAGGGGAGGAGAGGAGGTGAACGGAGGGGAGGAGAGGAGGTGAACAAAGGGGAGGAGAGGAGGTGAACGGAGGGGAGGAGAGGAGTTGAACGGAGGGGAGGAGAGGAGTTGAACGGAGGGGAGGAGAGGAGGTGAACGGAGGGGAGGAGAGGAGGTGAACGGAGGGGAGGAGAGGAGTTGAACGGAGGGGAGGAGAGGAGTTGAACGGAGGGGAGGAGAGGAGGTGAACGGAGGGGAGGAGAGGAGTTGAACGGAGGGGAGGAGAGGAGGTGAACGGAGGGGAGGAGAGGAGTTGAACGGAGGGGAGGAGAGGAGGTGAACGGAGGGGAGGAGAGGAGTTGAACGGAGGGGAGGAGAGGAGTTGAACGGAGGGGAGGAGAGGAGGTGAACGGAGGGGAGGAGAGGAGTTCAACGGAGGGGAGGAGAGGAGGTGAACGGAGGGGAGGAGAGGAGGTGAACGGAGGGGAGGAGAGGAGGTGAACGGAGGGGAGGAGAGGAGTTGAACGGAGGGGAGGACAGGAGTTGAACGGAGGGGAGGAGAGGAGGTGAACGGAGGGGAGGAGAGGAGTTGAACGGAGGGGAGGAGAGGAGGTGAACGGAGGGGAGGAGAGGAGGTGAATGGAGGGGAGGAGAGGAGGTGAACGGAGGGGAGGAGAGGAGTTGAACGGAGGGGAGGAGAGGAGGTGAACGGAGGGGAGGAGAGGAGGTGAACAAAGGGGGAGGAGGAGGAGGAGGAGAGGAGTTGAACGGAGGGGAGGAGAGGAGTTGAACGGAGGGGAGGAGAGGAGTTGAACGGAGGGGAGGAGAGGAGTTGAACGGAGGGGAGGAGAGGAGGTGAACGGAGGGGAGGAGAGGAGTTGAACGGAGGGGAGGAGAGGAGGTGAACGGAGGGGAGGAGAGGAGGTGAATGGAGGGGAGGAGAGGAGGTGAACGGAGGGGAGGAGAGGAGTTGAACGGAGGGGAGGAGAGGAGGTGAACGGAGGGGAGGAGAGGAGGTGAACAAAGGGGAGGAGAGGAGGTGAACCGAGGGGAGGAGAGGAGTTGAACGGAGGGGAGGAGAGGAGTTGAACGGAGGGGAGGAGAAGAGGTGAACGGAGGGGAGGAGAGGAGGTGAACGGAGGGGAGGAGAGGAGTTGAACGGAGGGGAGGAGAGGAGTTGAACGGAGGGGAGGAGAGGAGGTGAACGGAGGGGAGGAGAGGAGTTGAACGGAGGGGAGGAGAGGAGGTGAACGGAGGGGAGGAGAGGAGTTGAACGGAGGGGAGGAGAGGAGGTGAACGGAGGGGAGGAGAGGAGTTGAACGGAGGGGAGGAGAGGAGGTGAACGGAGGGGAGGAGAGGAGTTGAACGGAGGGGAGGAGAGGAGTTGAACGGAGGGGAGGAGAGGAGGTGAACGGAGGGGAGGAGAGGAGTTGAACGGAGGGGAGGAGAGGAGTTGAACGGAGGGGAGGAGAGGAGGTGAACGGAGGGGAGGAGAGGAGTTGAACGGAGGGGAGGAGAGGAGGTGAACGGAGGGGAGGAGAGGAGTTGAATGGAGGGGAGGAGAGGAGGTGAACGGAGGGGAGGAGAGGAGTTGAACGGAGGGGAGGAGAGGAGGTGAACGGAGGGGAGGAGAGGAGTTGAACGGAGGGGAGGAGAGGAGGTGAACGGAGGGGAGGAGAGGAGTTGAGCGGAGGGGAGGAGAGGAGGTGAACGGAGAGGAGGAGAGGGTTTAGCATAGGAACTGGCGGGATGCCACGTGTGGTGCAGCCGAGCCGAGCCTCTCACCTGGCTGTGACGAGCCTCTCACCTGGCTGTGACGAGCCTCTCACCTGGCTGTGACGAGCCTCTCACCTGGCTATGACGAGCCTCTCACCTGGCTGTGACGAGCCTCTCACCTGGCTGTGACAAGCCTCTCATCTGGCTGTGACGAGCCTCTCACTTGGCTGTGACGAGCCTCTCATCTGGCTGTGACGAGCCTCTCACCTGGTTGTGACGAGCCTCTCACCTGGCTGTGACGAGCCTCTCACCTGGCTATGACGAGCCTCTCACCTGGCTGGGACGAGCCTCTCACCTGGCTGTGACGAGCCTCTCATCTGGCTGTGACGAGCCTCTCACCCGTGTGACGAGCCTCTCATCTGGTTGCGACGAGCCTCTCACCTGGCTGTGACGAGCCTCTCACCTGGCTGTGACGAGCCCCTCACCTGGCTGTGACGAGCCATCATGGGAATATCATCATGGCGACCGCATGAGAAAATGGCACCTGCGCAAGGGGAGAGGGGCAGTTCGAGTAGGGGGCAGATCAAGCGAGCGGGGGGAGCAGAGCAAGCGAGCAGGATGAGATGAGGGCGTATTAGAGAAAAAGCGGAAAGATGAGGCCTGAGTGCATGGGAAAAGGATTGGAGAATGGGTGTGAATCGCCAGGAATGCGCCGAAAGTGGGAGCAGAGACGAAAGTGGAAAGCAATTTGAGTAGCACGAGCAGTGCAGTACAGGCAATCCTGGCACATGATCGGAAGCGTCAAAAGACTCACCTGCGTGCAGAACAAGACAAGTGATATCGGTAGGTAGGTAGCAGCCGGGTGTCCGCGCCGCGAGTATGCATCATCGCATGCGGCATGGCATGGCATCGCGTGGCATGGAAGTCGCATCGCATGGCATGGCAGCACTTTTCGAGTCGAAGGTGTCGCCAGCTTCGTCGTCAACGAGAGCCATGTGGTTACCAGCCTCCTGAACAAACCATCACGTATACACACAGCACAAAACGAAACAGCATGAGTCAATATAGTACCATTCACAACCACTGAAGCTATATGCTAGCTTCAAGAGATGCACGCTGGAACCTTAAGCTCTCGCAGCGGGTCAGCCAATCGTCACGCACCTGGAAACTACTAACGCACGGTGATTCTAATCCAACGCACATGGAAAACCTCGTTCCAGGCGCGCCTGCCGCGCTGCTGCTCGTGCGCCTGCCACGCGGTTACTCGCGCGCCTGCCACGCGGTTACTCGCGCGCCTGCCACGCGGTTACTCGCGCGCCTGCCACGCGGTTAATCGTGCGCGCCTGCCGCGCTGTTACTCGCGCGTCTGCCGCGCTGTGACTCGCGCGGCGCCATTAGTGCTGATGCGCGCACGCCCTCCGCGTGCCGCGCTGATGCTAGGTGGGAGAGGAGGTGCGGGGTAGGGTGAGTGGTGCAAGCTAGGAGAAGTGAATTACAGGGCGCGGGTACAGAGAGGTATAGGCGCAAAGGCGAGAAACCGATGTGAGGTAGGGCACAGAGATGTATTTTTGCACAAGGCAATAGTACCTGGTTCGATTCGTCGGTGCAAGGATCAGTTTCTAACAGCTGGAGTCGCTACAGTAGTAATGTGAATATCTCGTCATGTGCTGAAGTTGAATATCCCGTCAAGGTGACCTCGAGAGTCGCATATCAGGACACTCTGCAGCTAAGGGGTGGGGAAAAGGAGCGGATGTGGGCGAGTCGACAAGGCAAGAAAGCAGGATGAGACCCGAAATGGCAGAAAAGCCTTCACACAAGTCAATACAGCAGTGCGAGATGGGAAATCTAGACGAAATGTAGGGTTTTTGTTAAACAAACAGCTGTTAGGTCAGAAACGTCGCTTTTGACGCTGCTCGGTGATCAGATAAACGAGATCGGATGCAACTTGAACCAGTCAGTAAGGCATAATCTACAAAGTGAATGTAGGAAAGGGCAGCGCATACCTGCGGATATAAGCAGCGCAGATCGTAGCGTTTAACTTTAGGCATTACGCATGATCATTCGCGTGCGCTGGTTGACTATTTCGTTGCCGTTTTGTTCGGTGCGAGCGTGGAAAGGGCTACGAGAGAGCAGACGCGAATGATACTCCATTCTATCCTTTTGGTCCTAGCAACGTCGACCGAACTAGGAACAATCGTCTGACGGTGTTGGTGGCGGAATTGATACGAGAGCGCAGTACGGAGGCGGGGATGCGGTGAGGACGCGGGAAAACCGAAAGCAACAGTATGTGCGACAGAACAAGTGACTAGCGTGCGACGCAACAGGCGATTCGCATGTAACACTAGCCGTCGCCGCAACAGATGCCTAGCACGCGTCTCGACCAAAGACTTGGCTAGGTAGTAGGAAACGGCTAGGATGCGGTGAGGACGCGAGAAAACCGAAAGAAACAAGTATGCGCCACGGAACAAGTGACTAGTGCGCGACGCAACAGGCGATTCGCATGTGACACCAGCCGTCGCCGCAACTGATTCCTAGCAAGCGTCTCGACCGAAGACTTGGCTAGTAAGTTGGAAAGATAAGCAACTTCTGTTATTGGGAACGCATCGCTAGCGGCGTCACTATAGTGGGGAACGGCCACTTTCAGATGTATGAAAGGCGACGAATATGGAGAGAGAGTAGAGAGTGGGTGCTTGAGCAGATGGGGATGAAATGCAACCCCACCCCACCCACCCACAACATGTTCTGAAACATGTCGGTCAAAAAGAAATATAACTAAGCAGCACAGCCTCTCGCCCTAATCAGAAGCGGCAATGCGTGACCAATGCGCTTGTATGATTGGGAAACAATCCCAAAGTAGCTCTAGAGGGAAGGGATGGGGAAAAAAGAAAAAAGACGAAACACAAAAAAAAGGGGGGGTGGAAAACAGAGTCTTCATCCGGAGTGTGATTGGAAACACTATCGAGGGGGATGTCAAGCGGTTCCGATTTGCAAGGGGTGTCGACGCGATTCCAATTTGCAAGGGGTGTCAAAGCGGTTCCAATTTGCAGGGGGTGTCAACAAGGTACTGATTTGCAGCGCGGTCTCGTCAATAGCAAATTTGGATCCTCTACTTATATGCATGCCAACCAACTAACACTTATAACAAAATGTAAATAGAAAATAGAAACAGCATCAGTAATAGCCAAATGTAGTAGCATGAGCAGTAGCAAATAACAGCAACACCAGCAGTAGCACCACATTACAGCTGTAATACTAATACTACAGCTAGAGCTACAGCTGTAATAGTAGTACCACATTAAAACCTTGATATTAGTACTACAGCTATATCTACACCAACACCAACACCAACACTAACAACAACAACAACAACAACAACACTAACAACAACAACAACAACAACAACAACAACAACAACAACAACAACAACAACAACAACAACAACAACAACAACAACAACAACAACAACAACAACAACAACAACAACAACAACAACAACAACAACAACAACAACAACAACAACAACAACAACCAACAACAACCAACAACAAAAGCAGCACCAAGAAAAATAAGCAGCGACAGCAGCATCATGAAATAGCAGTAGCAAATTGCTGCAACATTAGAAATATTAGCAATATCAAATAGCAGAAGCACAAGCAGCACTAGAAAAAATAGAAGGGGAAGGAGAAGGCATGTAATCAGACAAGCAAACTGTCACTAAATTACCAAGGGAAGGAGAAGGGGAAGGAGAAGGGGAAGGAGAAGGGGAAGGAGAAGGAAGGGGAACAGGAAGAGGAAGGAGAGGGGAAGGCGAAGGGGAAGGAGAAGGCGAAGGAGAAGGCAAAGGTGTAGGAGAAGGCGAAGGAGGAGGCGAAGGAGAAGGCGAAGGCGAAGGCGAAGAAGAAGGCGAAGGAGAAGGCGAAAGAGAAGGCGAAGGAGAAGGCGAAAGAGAAGGAGAAGGCAAAGGAGAAGGGTAAGGAGAAGGGGAAGAAGAAAGGGAAGGAGAGGCAAGGGGAACAGGAAGAGGAAGGAGAAGGGGAATGAGAAGGGGAAGGAGAAGGGGAAGGAGAAGGGGAACGAGAAGGGGAATGAGAAGGGGAGGAGAAGGGGAAGGAGAATGGGAAGGAGAAGGCAAAGGAGAAGGGGAATAAGAAGGGGAAAGAGAAGACATGAGAAGGAAGGGGAAGGGGAAGGCAAAGGGGAAGGAGAAAGATAAGGCGAAGGAGAAGGCGAACGAGAAGGCAAAGGTGAAGGAGGAAGAGAAGAAGGAGGAGAAGGAGAAGGAGAAGGTGAAGGAGGAGAAGGAGAAGGAGAAGGTGAAGGAGGAGAAGGAGAAGGAGAAGGAGAAGGAGAAGGAGAAGGAGATGGAGAAGAAGAAGGAGAACGAGAAGGAAAAGGAGCAGGGGAAGGAGAAGGAGAAGGGGAAGGGGAAGGAGAAGAGGAAGGAGAAGGCGAAAGAGAAGGCGAAGGAGAAGGGGAAGGAGAAGGAAGGGGAACAGGAAGAGGAAGGAGAGGGGAAGGCGAAGGGGAAGGAGAAGGGGAAGGAGAATGGGAATGAGAAGGCGAAAGAGAAGGCGAAGGAGAAGGGGAAGGAGAAAAGGAAGGAGAAGGGGAAGGAGAAGGAAGGGGAACAGGAAGAGGAAGGAGAGGGGAAGGCGAAGGGGAAGGAGAAGGCGAAGGAGAAGGCAAAGGTGTAGGAGAAGGCGAAGGAGAAGGCGAAGGAGAAGGCGAAGGCGAAGAAGAAGGCGAAGGAGAAGGCGAAAGAGAAGGCGAAGGAGAAGGCGAAGGAGAAGGAGAAGGCAAAGGAGAAGGGTAAGGAGAAGGGGAAGAAGAAGGGGAAGGAGAGGCAAGGGGAACAGGAAGAGGAAGGAGAAGGGGAAGGCGAAGGGGAAGGTGAAGGCGAAGGAGAAGGCAAAGGAGAAGGCGAAGGCGAAGGAGAAGTTGAAGGAGAAGAAGGCGAAGGAGAAGGGGAAGGAGAAGGGGAATGCCAAGGCGAAGGAGAAGGCGAAAGAGAAGGCGAAGG